TTTTAAACATGTAATACATGTAACAGAATCAAACAGAGGAACAGAATGTTTAAGGGCAACGTTTTAGAACTTCTGTGTTGAAGACTAGTTTCACAGAAGGAAAACCGTTCAGCTTCAAAGGTTTTCACTTTTATTGCGAAGCCACGAATGCAATGACTGTGAACTATGGTGTGATCAGACCACAGTCTCACGCTTCATTGGCTTAAACATTAAGTAATGAAAGTAAATAAAAAGTTCCTAAAAGTTAGAAATCAAAATTGAAAAGGCGAATAAAGAAAAGTTCAGAAAATGAAAAGGTATAGTTTAAAGTTTATTACACAATATCTGCGTGTAATCAGGTGTGTTTATCCAAATGCTTGACATACACATTTCAACTTTTGAATTCCTTTTTAATACAAAGACCATTCAACCAAATTGTTTAATCAGTAAATGAAAAAAGCCCACTTCTCCACTCACTAGTGGCTCATGCAACATTCCTCTATTCTTTCATTTTTTCCTTGATCCAGGGAATGAAGAAATTAATTTTAGTGTAGACATGAGGATATTTTGGATTATTACAATCATCTGCCAAAGTAAAAGCTGTTAAACCTTGAGACATCTTGTTGCAAATAAGTGGTCCACCAGAATCGCCCTATAAAAAAAAAAGAGCAGAGAGACTTGATTAAGTCGTCTTTAAAAACATTGCATTTTTCTTGTTATGAATAAAGAACAAAAACTAGTTTTTCTGAATATTAATAATGGTGTACTGGTTGCCTTTAACATTTGATTACCTGGCAAACTCCTCCATCCTTCTTGGTAAACTTGGTGCATATCATTTGATTAGAATTAAAATATGCTTGCCAAATACTTTTGCACTCATTGCTGAATTGCATCTTCTCTGTGGCTTCCTTTAGAACATTTGAGGCGGGCATATTTTTTCCAGTCCGACCCCAGCCAGCCACATAACATTTAATATTGGCAGGTATTTTCCCATTCTTCTTAGGTAGTCCGGTGGTCTTCACATACTTATTCAGTGTGGCATTCTTTTCTAACTGTGAAAGACAGCAACGTGTTATTGAAAGGGGAGTTTCTTCTATATATAAAGGTCAGCAATTAACACACACTCACACCTGCTACCTAGCACAAGTGTGAAATTGCATAACAAAGCTTTAACTGTGAATAGGTACACTGCACAAAAATGCTTTAAAATGAAATTTGATGGCCTATTAGCTTTACCTTAAGCAACATGATGTCATAATCGTATTTCCCGTTGAATTTTGGATGACGGTAGTACTTGGCCACTTTGATGCGTTGTTGACTTTTCTCTTTCTTGCTAATGTCATGTGCTCCAAGCACCACTGTGCAAGGACCGCTGTTGTCATGTCTGAAAAAAGGTAACATTTTTATGTCCTGAAATCTCATACAGTTACACTGATTATACATAAAAATAAAGGTTTATAAAGTACAGCCATGAAACACTCATAACAGCAAATTTTCTTCAGCCAGGTTACAATATGCTTAAATACTGAACAGGTGACAAATTCAAGGAAAAACCCGAGTTCTTGACTGTTATGCTGTGGTGGATATTTGATCAGTGTAGTTTGCATCCATTTGTCTTACAAAGCTCACGACTCTACAAATTTGGGCTGAGAAATCATCTTTACAGTATTATGAAAGACTTAGACCGACATCTGTGTGTGTGTGGTTTTTATTTTCTGGGGTTAAAATGCCTGTGTCATAGGACACAATGTGTTGCTGAATAGATAGGTGAGTCTGAAAGTGACGTGCCGCTGGATCTTAGTGGAGACCTACAACATGTGTGTTAAACTGTGTTTATAACATAACTCAGTAGTGATATATTTTGAATAGATAAAATCCTTAACTTTTTGGGGGGTAATTGTTACATAAATACCAATTTTTAGGACTTTTTTTCTTTAGTTCTTGATTTACAAAGAAACCCAAAACAAAAGAAATGCCCCTGCACTCACTTGCAGTGTGCTGCCGTTAGAACAAAGTCCTCCCGGATTAGTATCCCACCACATGAATGTTGGGCTTGATACTGGATTGATGCCATGTAAGGTCTGGAATGCGGTTTTGCCTCCCTGCCACCAACTATACCGCTCTCAGCAGCCCCTCACGAGAGAAAAGAAGGTAAAATCAATACACTGATTATATCAAAATCATGCCCATTTCTTGTTTATGACCTTAAAAAGGAAAAGTGAGATGCTTTAGTTATATCTCTTCCAAAAATCTTACCTGTGAGGGAGACTTGTAGAAAGATGAATATGATGCAGCAGATCATGATGGCACTGAAGCAAAAGCTGAAAGGTTTGGCTTTCAAAGCCCCCCTAACCCTTTTTGCTGTCTGCCTTCCAACTGCCACAACGGAAACGCTGTGGGCAGGTGTCAAAAACGTTGTTGCACAGACAGGAGTTGATATCACACCCTGCTCACTGCTTTACATGTGAAACACAACTGTGAAAAAACATATTAAAAAAATCGTCTGTAGCCATCTTCTCAAGCAAGATAGCATCGAACGTTGTCAAATTGTCAATGATTTATTGTTTTTCTATACTGTATGTGTGTTTGCACCTTCATGTGGTTTTATGCAATTCAGATTAATTCAATTCAAAATCCTACGTTTTGTGGTTGTCCTCTCTAAAAATCACACACCTCTATGAGAGGATAATTCCAATTTATGCTCTGATGAAAGTTCCTTTTTTTTTCTGTCGATCACATTTATTTTAAAGGAAGATGGTGAAGGTTGGTGGTAAATCGTGAAATGGAAAGCGTGTATTATCGTCATAGTAACCACGGTGTGTACAAAGATATTCACACCTCTCACTATGAACCCTATACACACATTACTTCCTTTTTTCTTTCTTTCTTTTTCTTTTGTTTCATCACATGTGCACATACAGTGCACATGTTTTTCTGAACTTATTATTTAATAATAACTTATTATTTAAAGCCCAGTTTGGTGGGTGTCTTTACAGCATTCTCTATAAGGACATGAACTTGTTGACTAAATGCTGTAAACGTAGTTGAACAGTACATTCATTGCCTTACACAACAAAAGGTTAGAAGTTTACGTTCTCATTTTGCCTTTGAATCTGTGCAGCTGAACAAATTTCGATGTTTGATTTACTCTCTATGTTCTCTCAGATGTGTTCAATCTCTCATCATAATTGAGGGTGTCACTGACAAATTTCACAGAAACATAAATTTAATAATCACAGCAGATGATCCCCTCTGGCAGCCCGTCCTCATTTCATTAACTCGTAAAAGCTTCAAAACACTCTTGCTCTAGTACAAAACACCTATGTTTTATTTTAAATACACGAGTTCAAAATGATCTAACAAAGCCAATAACTCACATTTAATTAGACATTATGCCAAATATTACTTGTTGTAACATCAGGGAATTAGTGGGAAATCTAGCACGGCTCGATCTACACTTGTTTTTTTTTTTACTGCACATGCTGTAAAATACAGAAACTTTGTTTACACTTTCAAGCTGCTTCCTGAAGAACAGGATATAATACTACAGCGGTTAAGGGGTTTTACACGATCCCAATATATAGAAAGCAGTCAGATGGGCTAACCAACCTAGCAAAAGCCACATGATCGCAGCAAGCAGAGGCTACCACAGAGTGAAATGTGATTATAGTTGCTGTGTGATCACCACAATAACAAAGATGATAGGCAATGAAAACGCTGACACTGATAACATTTCATTCAAACTAATATTTGCAAAGAGTAAGTTGGATAAACCGAAAACTAAGAGCACTACTTAAAACATTAGTTTTATTTTTTAAACTAAATAGCTGTATGTATAAATATAGATTTGTCTGTATGGGTAAAAAGCCATGCACCAGTTAGCCACAAAGGTTTTCCCGAAAAAAACAAACAAAACAGAAACAGAACTGTTTATCTTTTTAACAGCACATGGTCCTACAAGTGTAAATGTCACTGACTGTAGATCCAGGTTTGCTTTTTAACACACCTTCTGACTCATAATCAAAAGGGCGGAGTTAGAGTGAAACCAGTGGGCACTCTCACCTCATAGTTTAAGGATGAGGTAAGTGTTGATTTGTGAGCAACACTCACTTGTCTAAACAGTGTCTCGGTTTTCTTGAAAACTGAAACAGATCTGATCCTGAGTACAAAACATATCCACAGGAAACCTCTACAATACAGTACAGAGAACAGCAGAGTATTCAGCCAAGCACACAGTGTACTTGTCCACATTGGCCAGAATAGAGGCCTAACCAACCAGCATAAGAGAGTGTGGTTGGACCATGCAGTGACTGAGAGACAGATGTTGCAGATTTAAAAATATGCTCTTTAACTAGTTTACTACTTTCATTAGACCACCACAAAGTGTAAGGTTTATGTTTCTATAAACTGGTTAATCCACAGTGTTTGGGAGCTCTTTAATCAAATTGATGCTTTCAATTCTAAAATATATTTACTGCAGTTTTTCATTAATTTCCTAAAATAACTCAATGAATGTATTGGTAACGAACACCCCAGCAGTAGCTCTTTGCTCCACCAGAGGAGGCCACTCCACAGTTTGTGGCCCATTGGTATACGTTTAAAAATTGGTGACTTTGGCAACATCTAGTGGTAGTATAAACTAAAACATAGTAAAAAGCACACATTTGTCAGGATCCTTGTGTTGTTTTCACTTTCGCGTTCCATACATGAAACTGTCAGACCTGATTAAACACCTTTGATTTGTGCCTGAAGTGCTACTCTTTTCCCCAGAACTGCATAAACCAAAATACCTGCCTGTTCAAATGAATGTGTATCTTCTAGTCTTCTTAGAACACATTTGTTTCGTTCTTGGTATGTACGCGTATCACAGTGTTATAATTATTTTGCTAAATGGAAGTATCTTTTAAATATATGAATTAAGTTGTCTAAGGAATGAGATTAAGGAGATCTTTTTCAGACGTTCTATGCAGATGACTGGTTTCACAGGGGGAAAACTGACCTCAAATGTTTGCATATGATTGAGAAGCCATGAATGCAATGAACAAAGTCCTCTCGGATTAACATCCCACCACATGAATGGTGTTCTTGATACTGGAGCGATGCCATGTAAGGTCTGGAATGGGGCTTTGCTTCTCTGCCACCAATTATACTGCTCTCAGCAGCCCCTTACATAAGAAAAGAATGTAGAATCAATATACTGATTATATCAAAATCATGCCCATTTCTTGCTCATGACCTTATAATTATATAAAATAAAGGAATATGCTTTATTCACTTGTCTTTCAAAAATGACCTTATCTTACCTGTGAGGGAGACTTGTAGAAAGATGCATGTGATGCAGTAGATCATGATGGCACTGAAGCAAAAGCTGAAAAGTTTGGCTTGCAAAGCCCCTTAACTACTTTTGCTGTCAGGCTTCCAACTGCCACAACGGAAACTTTGGTGTCAGGGTGTTAAAAACTTTGTTGCACATGCAGGACCTGATACAACAAAAAGTGCAGCTTACTCAAAATGCAAGATGGGAAAATATAGTTTGTTTTTCTTCCAAATTAACATGAAATAATGCACTGCTTAAAATTACAGCATCATTTGATCATCTGTTTCCTTTCCTGCAAAATACCTGAATTTATGCAATACTTAAAATTAGTCCTTAGGTTATGTAAAAGAAAACCTTATGCTGTGTTTAAAATTAGTTACACACCAGTTGAATTTTGAATATTATTTTAAAACATTTTTTAAATTTCTAGTATAGTTTCTTTGTTTCCTGTCAAAAAAACTGACTTGTTACAACCTTTATTCTAGTCTACCCACCTTTAAATACATGTAGGTAAATATAATCACATTGAAATTCCAGTTAATTACAGGGGAATTACTAAAATACTAGTTTCACTTACTAAACTACATCGCTCTGTGTTCATTCAGATTTGTCTGTACAAGTAAAGAAATTAAGTCATACACCAATTACACAGGTGGTAAAGCCATACATTTTTTCCAAGATAAACAGAAACTGAATAATTTGACTTGTCAAAAGCACATGTCCCAACAAGCCTGAATGTCCTCATTAATATTGATATTTGTGTCATGATTAGTTTCTAAGGTTTTACATTCTCTTCCTCGTTCACACACCTGAAAACTTCTTGGCAGGACTGCGCTGTAGAGCCAGTGTTGCATTCTTAACACATCTTTTGGCTCCTGAGTTATAATCAAAGAGATGGAGTCAGAGTGAAAACAGCGGGCACTCTCATTATCGTGGTTTAAAGATGAGGTTACTGTCACACTGGTTTGCACCTAACAGTGAGCAACACTCAGCGACCACTTGTGGCCACAGCCTCTTTGGTACATTCTTGAAAACTAAAGTATATGTTTGCCTTTCAAAGGTAAAAACTCCAGGTTTTATGGTTTATTTTTGAAATAATCTTACAAGATGTTGATATGGAGAGTAAAAAAGGCTCTTTCAGTCAGCTGTTCTGTTAAACAAGTGGATAAGTTCAGTTTTTATATGAGTTATTTCTCTGGGAAAGATGCCAGTTAACAAATACGTAGTGTAAATAACACTAGAAATGTTGTCTTGTTAGTTGTTGGGATTCTGCTTACTAACAAGGAACAGAATTTCAGCCATTTAGTGCACTAGTAATCCAATCACTCAACAATCCCGATGAATGACTGATGACTGATGAAGGGTCCCTCAGTCTTCAAAGTATTGTTCCATGTACAACATTCTCAAATTTTCAGAAATATTACAATTAAATCCGCACATAAGTTGTTTAAAAGCATCATTTATTTGCCTGGAATTATGTCATTCATCATTATATTTCACTTCTTAAAGTCAGTAATAACCAGTGTTGGGACTAACGCGTTATTAAGTAATGCGTTACAGTAACTACGTTATTATTGTGGTAACGAGCACGGTAACTAGTTATTATGCCAAAATCAGGAACACGTTACTGGGATTTAGATAGGCTCGTTATTTGTTACTTCGTGTGGAGGCTATCGCGGAGCTTCCACAGATTCAGTAATATTAGCAAGTGGTGGAGGGCAGCAGGTGGATAAGGTAAAGGGGAGGCAGGAGGAGGAGAGACCCGAAGCGGCCGCCGGTCCGAGTGTCAGGTGAACTGAACTTCAGGTAAGAAGTTATGACCTGCAGTCTATCTGGGTCAGATATAAACCAAGTTTAGGTGGAGTTTATTTTCGTTGTGCTGACTTTTTACAGTCAGTTACATTAAGCTGCGTACTAGCTAGCATGACGGAGTTTCTATACAGCTGGGTGGGTGCTATGATGTTACTGATGTTAAACTTTATTTTGTTCATAAGGTTAATTATTAGAGTTGCCAACCATCCCGAATTGTTCCGTATTCAGAGAGCGTTTCGTAATATTTTCGTTTCGTATTGAGGTGAAAAGGAACACAGTTTGCCCCGTACTTCAGCTAG